AAAAAAAAAATTAAATGGAATCATCCAAAATGAGTCCTTTTGGGATTGGCCTTTTTAACACAACATAATTCTCTGGAAATTCATCCAAGTCCTTTTATGGGCCAATAGTGTGTTCCTTTTTATTGCTGAGTGGCAATCCAGGCAATGACTTTTAAAATTTCTTTTATGTTATAAAAAAAGTCACTGCATCCTGGTTTCCTGCATTGTGTCTCCCCATTCCTTTTGACCTTTGACACCATGTGGTTAAAGGAACTGGCTGAAAATAACCAAAAGCCCAGGCAATGTCTTTAGTGCTGCTGTGTGAATGACCCTTCTTTCTTTGGAGAAAGGTATTTTGTTGATCCTGGAATGTTTTTTTTTTTAACATGTGGCTTCGAACAGAATCTTCTCGATTTGGGTTCATAGGGAATGGAGTAGTATTGATCACAGGAGGGATTTCTCATGCTCTGGCATACACCAGTGTCGTTCCTTGTCACGTGGATATGTAAATCTGCGTTTCCAGTTCGGGTCTTGTGTTGGCCTCAAATGAAGTGCTGAACACTCTTCCTAGCAGAGAAGCCACTGAGAACTTTCTCTCAATGCATCTTCCCACGTCACCTATGTATCGAGTGCTTCCTGTTTGCCAGGCACTGGAGACAGGAGATGTGAATGGTGCAGACACGACCTTAGGCTTCATGATGCTGAGCTGGGATTGGCTCTTGCTACACATGTGTATTGAGCACCCAGTAGACACCATTATATTGAGCTTCACGGGTACAAAGAGGAGGACACAGACGAATCAAACACATGTGTCTCTGTCAATCTCAAGAATCTTATACATAAGTACACAAGTAAGAATATAAGATAAAAAAAAGTACTAACATAGGAGAAGTACCAGAAAGTACACAAACCCGGAGAGGCTCTCTGTGCCTGCAGACTTGTCTTAGTCATTCCTGTTTATTTAAGCCCAATGCCTGGCAGCTAAAAACACTTAATCAGTGTGGTTGGTTAGGGCTTTGATTGATGGATGGATTGATAGACAGAGATGGCATTTCAGCCAACCGTTGAGGGACGAGACACATGAAAACAGAGGAGTGAGTGTTCTAAGCAGAGGGGCCAGCATAGGCAAAAGTATAGTGGGTTGCCAGAAAATTCCAGGGCGTCTATTATAGGAGACCCCACGTCATTGAATTGCCTGGAACAGAAGGATGCAGGAACCTGTGGGACACAAGACCTAAAAGACCCCGTGACCTGAATCTCTGGGGTCTTCCACACCAG